CCCCAAAACCCCAAAACCCCAAAACCCCAAAACCCCAACAAAAACTGGTATATTTGAATCGTTATATTTTAAATTCAAATATATTCATTACAGAAGAATATGAAAGAAGGGCAAAGATTTCCAAAACTCTTAGGAAGAGATCCTGATCTTGATCTTGATGGAAATGGTATCTCCACCAAGATACAAGAAAACTTCAAGAATGAGCTTGAACAGAACCATACTTTACTGGACATTCATAAATAGCTCGACCTCACTCTTAAAAGAAAGCAGACTAATAAAACTCAACTCTGAAGATATTTACGAAATTTCCCCCAACGGTGCTATCATAGCCATTAAGAGTAATGAGTCAATTTTTAGCGGAGAGTCTTCAAAATCCAAAAGGCCCAAATCTGGTAGATTTCACCAAAGTAGACCCTGGAGTAATAGATCATATAAAAGAACTGATAGTGGCTCAGTAGGATCAAGACCAGGCTCGTCAACAAAGAAAATATTTTCGGTTGCTAAAAGCCATTCTGTGAACTCAAAAAGAATGGGTAATAATCCTATGCATAAGTCTCACTTATCTAAAGTTGATCAGATTATCAAACAAACTAATATTTATACCAACCCAGGGGATCGGAATGAGAAAATTACACGAAAGTATAATAAACTGAGGTCTCATGAGAGCCTTGACTCGAATAAGGCTTTAATCCAAAAGAATCTTATCAGAGCTCAGAAGCAAAGAGCATCCCGAAAATAATTCAATAAGGTATGAAACCTAGTTTATTGTATAGTCAAAGGAACACTAGTGGGAACAGGAGCAACAGTTTGATAAGGATAGTCAAAAATATCTCTGTTAAATTTATTAATGGAGTCTCAGTCTCTATTCTCACCAACCTTTTCCATGCAAAATGTAATGATCTCAAAATTGAGCCAAAAGAAGGCCAGTTAAAAAGATTTCTAGATTATTGCCAAAAAGCTATGAAGGGGAGGAAGATCACATTCAGAGAAATTGGATTTGGACCTCACAGTGCTAAAATTCTTGGTCATATTTTGAGATACAACAAAGTCTCCCACTTGGATTTAAGGAAGAATGTATTAGGAGACCAAGGACTTAAGGAGCTGTCAAAATCACTTTTATCAAACTCCTCTATTATACACTTAGATATTGGAAGTAATGATGTAACATTCGAAGGAGCAAATAAATTCTTTAAAAGTATGGTTAAGCATCAAACTCTGACATCAATAAGTATTGCAAATTCAGATGGGCTCCACAGAAACAGAATCAGAGCAAAAGGATGAATTGGTCTCAACACATTGATAAAATAAGAATAAACTAATATCGATGCTCAACCTTTCTGGAAACAATATTGGTAAAGAAGGTGTGAAAGCTTTATTAAAAGATCTTGATCCAAAAGAAATGAATTTACTATACCTTAATCTAACAAATAACGATCTTGAATATGATTGAATCAAAAGTCTCAAGCCATTACTTATATCGCCAAATTTAGTAGATTTACGATTAGCAAACAATAAACTTGATGATAATACTGCAGAAGCTCTCTCAGCTTATTTCTACAGACAGATTTGACAAATCAAGAAGATAGACTTATCAAGCAACAGAATCACAAGTAAAGGGGCTAAAATTTTATTCAGATCTATAAAGCAAAACCAATCTCTTACACATTTAAATCTCCGAAACAATCCTTATCTTGGGAATGGAGAGATAGCTGAACTTGAAAACTTCTTAAACAATAATCAATGACTCACCCACTTAAATCTGGGCGAATGTGGAATTGATTCTAAACATGTTTATGTAATAACTGAAGGCTTATATGCGAAAGGGACTGAAAATTCAAGATGAGGCAATAACACTCTTCATCATTTAAACCTAGCCAGAAATAAAATCACAGATGAAGGAGCTGGATACATTGCTAATATTCTGAGAGATAACACAAACACAGGCTTGATGATGATTGATCTTTCATCAAACTTTATCAGTGATGATGCAGCCAGTAACCTTGCTAGTGCTATAAACACCAACAATTATCTTCTAAAACTAAACCTAAAGAATAACAATTGAATGGCAAAGTGATTTAACAACAGTAAATCATCCTCAATCGAGAATCGACTTCCAATGATTAGAGAAGAAATGACAGAGTTGCTTATAAAAGAGGAAGAGCAGCTAAAAGCTGGAGATAAGAACTTCAATTTCGGTAAGTCTCAACTACTCATATTCAGGCAAAGTCACGAGGAAAATGGAAATCAAATAAAGACCAAATCGAACTAGAAATGCTTCAGTACCAAGACTGAGTAGAAACAATGAGGGAAAATGATGAAATAGAGCTTGAACAACTTAAGAAAATGCTTAAAAACCTCAAAGGGAATTCTGAAGATATGGACTATGAACTTATAAGACTGGCCAAAGCTAGGGACCGCAGAAAGAAGAACCTCAAGTACCAGATTGAAGATGTTGAAGCTGATATTTGCAATGTAAAGAGAACAGAAGGAGATAAGAGACAAGAAATTTATCAAGCTAAGAAAGAATTACAGACATTCCAAGATAAAGTAGACGTTCATCTTAATAAGCTAGAGACTGAACTAGCTGACGTAGAACTTGAGAGAAAGAGAGCACAGTTTGTCTATGAGAATTATGAGCGAGAAGTTACTCGTTGGAGAAAGGAAGTGGAAGAAAAGAAAAATGAAGCCTTACAGTCTAATTTCTTACAAATTCCAAATGATAAGGGCACAAGAAGAGGATTGAGCTCAAGAAGAAGATCAAGGTCTCAATCTAGGTCTCGATCTCGGTCTAAATCTAAGTCAAAATGAGACAACGAAGAGCAAAAGCAACCATTCCAAAGGATAGCAAAAAGGTCTATTAATTATGCTAAAGAAAACGATGCCTCAAGATACAATCAGAATAAGCTTAAAAATAATAGAAAACATTGAAAGTCTAAGAAATCACTAAAAAGAAGTGGCAGAATGATAAAGAAAGAAAAATGTTCAAATCAAAAGCTAAAAATTAGTGTACAAAAGCCAGAAACCACAAAGAGAATTTATTAATAAATAATTGACTCTCAATAAATAAAAAATTTAACGGGGTTTTGGGGTTTTGGGGTTTTGGGGTTTTGGGG